ATTAGCACAAAGCTGGTCTATGTACTACAGCATCTGTGGCGGCAGTCAGCTACTATAGGAACGAGGGCCACCTCTGTAGCAGCACTGAAGGTTTCTTAGGCCCTACCTAAGAGGGAGTCGCTACAAATGAGCTGTGCAAAGCATGACTGTGCATTAGTGTGGATAATGTGAATTCTCTTCCCCTTTGGAAGGAACTGATGATATATTGTAATCTTCCAGTCTTACACCTCTCCCCTGGGGGCGGGGAGCCCTAAGCCTTCGCCAAGTTTCCTCGCTCATCCTTATCTAGACGTGTTCCATACGGAAGCTGAAGACAGGCCCCTGGATGAGTTGAAGTGAGGACGCACAAGAGAAGGAAATGAATATTTCTTCAAAACAGGAGTGAAATGGGTTCTGGGAGGACCCTTTAAAATAAAGGTGCAGGTAAGAGTAGTGTAGTCAGGATTTCTATTACATCTTCACAAATACGCAATGAGCCTTTCCTAACTGGAGCTGTTACAGCGCCCACCAACGCACTGAGACATGATGCAGAGAAGTGCTGTGCGTTCTGTGACTAGTTTACACCTGTGTCCACAGGAAGAATTGTGCTCCACAAAAACGAGTTGCCCCTGATTAACTACCGCAAGTGACCTACGTTTTTCAGAGAATTCGAGGCGAGGAGTGTAGGAACATGCCAAAGAACAGTCATAGCTAATACACCTGTAGCAGGGGAGCAGACTAGTGCTAATCACAGACGTGAGCGGCCTAGGGTGTTATCTATGCCTCATCCCTGCCATAAGTATGATTGGGTATGCAGTCACATTGTTTATATTTGTACACTGATATTTTTAAAGGGCTTTAGAAAAATGTATAGGACCAAAGATTCAGCATGCCTCTATAAATTCACCTGCAATCACTTACGTGTACAGGAACCTTTGTTTGCATACAGGAATTTGTGATTATTATACGCTTTTAAAGCCTTGCGTATAACAGATTTATATTGGCTTTTTGTGCATTAATAGATCCCTATTCTGTTAATCCATCTTATGCAGAAAAGCAAACAATTACATTCATGTCAGACCTTAGTCTTTTTACTCCAGTCTCATTATCCCCCCACCACTTTTTTTAAACTCGTGCTTAAAATGTCTCCGCAAACCCTTCTGACTGTTATCTTTTGGTCACAAATGGCTGTGTACGTGCCTTTTAAAAAAATCCTGTATCTCATGAAACCAGATTGCTGGATGCCTGCCTTTTCTACCCATACGCCCCTATCATGTAAATAAAATGCTAGCCACTTAGAACCCTATTAACTTGGAGAAACAAAAGTCAGCCTTTAGATGCATTTCAATGCTGTTGAAAATGAAACTTGCTACACAGAGAGCGCTGCTTTCCTTCAGGAATTGTACACCAAGAAACTAGCTTTATTGCATCAACCTCCATGAGAAGCTACTGCTGCATCATAATGGTGGCTCATACAGAAATATGATTGGACTAGAACCACCACAGGATCTTGATGTTTTGTCTGGAAAACAAATGTCTTGGTCTTACTCCTTGATTCGTACGTAAAGCGTGTGTTTTCCTGAAGCAGGGCTTGCGGTTTAAAGTGCTTGCCTGAACAAGTAGTAAATGTGAGTGTGGCAGAATGGTAGAGGATAAAAGAATGTTGCTGCTTGGCTAGCACTGTGACTCATTCTATAGTATGTAGAACGAGAGGGGCCCTGCTTTTTCTTTAAGTTCCCCTACATACTTGTTACAGTCTGGTGCTGGCAGTAGCTGTTGTGACTGAGTAGTCTTATGACCTGAGCTGCAGGTAGACGGACATCTCAATGGTAGCACTGATTACTACAATTAGTTGCCACTCAACAATTGTGGGGTAATTACATAGGCCCAAAACAGTCAGTTCAAAAATGGACCCAACTCTTCAAGAGCAGGCCCACTGACTGTACGCTAGCAGAACCATCCCGTAGACCCATAAAACACGAGGCAGATAAACTGAGCAGAAGTAGCGCTAGAGCTGGCCTTACTTTTGGCTGGGTGAATGTTGCTTAGTGTGTATAAAAATGAGGAACTGGCTGGAAGTAGGCAGGAGCTATTTTTGCTACCGTATTACACCTCAACCCTGACCTCAGCATCAATCAGGTCTAGCCCTGGGCTTCTCCAATGGTTGGCTCCCCCACGCTAATTGCTGCCAAGGGCAGAGGCCAGTTTCTCTGTACACTGCCACCTTCCGTGGACTTTACGTGACACTGTGAGCAGAGGCTATGCTTCTATTTTCCAATGGAAATTTGTTTTACAAAGTTATATTTTTAATAAACTACTTTTACAAATGGCTTGTAGATGCTGGGAATTTTTAGCCTGCAGCCCTACCTCACCCACCAACTGATCAGTTCTTAGAGAATGGAACCAGCCGCGTAGTTTCCATTTCTCTGCCATCCTGAGTCATTCTGGCATTTCTTCCAATAGCAGCAAGGCGTTCAAGGTGGTTTTGAACAGCCACATGTTCAACTTCACCTCTGAAATAAGGGTGTCTTTGCCTGGACTGTGCTCTCATGGCTTGGTCCCTGGGCCCAGCATTATGCCCTGAATTGTGGAGGTCTGAATATTACCGCAATGATTGCGAAATAGCAACAGCCTAACTCTTGCTGAGGAGCTTATGAGGCTCCTTTAATTAGAGTGATATGAGACAACTGGTGTCATTATAAAGATTTGGAGACACTAAAGCAGTCATTTTAGAATGGTTTGCTCTGGTGCTTTCCAAAATAGTACCCACGTTCTACTTAATTTCCTCTACTGGGACTTTCAATCCTAACATGTCAATGCACGTTTATGGATTTATTGATTTTTTTAAACATAATCAGTTCAAATCTTTGACAAATCATTTTGGCACTTGTTTGTCAGCTAGAAAATAAGTCATACTGAGGTTTCTGTACCATCAAAGCAACACACTGACAGCTAAACCTTGACATACTGTGGAAAAAGTTTGAGAATCTTGCCCTGTTGCAAAAGGACCTATATAGAATGGGACTGGAAATGAATTCAACTGATATTTTTCATGAAGAAAAAAAAAAAGGAGATTGAAAAAGCAAGTTTTCATCCCAAAATATTTAAGAAATTAAATTTTGGTAACTGCAAAATCTGAGCATTTTCAAAGACAAACATTTGTTTTCATCAGAAATTCTCAGAGGAAAAAGTCAGTTCCTGACCTACTCCACACCTAAAGGATTTAGGAACACAATTGCCATTGACCGTGGGAACTGTGCTCCTAAATCTTTTGGGGTATACTTTCTGAATGACCTGGCATTTATTTCGTTATTAGTATTGAGGATTTGGGGGTGGGGGAGGGGGCTTGTTTTAAAATACAAATGAACAAATACTTGAGCTTGTTCTTTAGAGGGCTACTTCAGGTTAACATTCATTTTCAGTGAAGTCTTGTTTGTATTACTAATGCCACAGTTATTGCAACTGAATAGATTTTTAAAATCCTGTTTAGACCAGTTATATTTTAGGTCTTGGATTTCACGCAACTCCAACAGACAATGGAGAGAGTAGCAGGCTGCCGGGTTGACAATTTGTTTGTGCCCATCCTGTAAGGTACCAAGGGCTTCTGAAAACTACTGACCAGCCTCACCTCTGGTGGGGAGACTTCAGTAGGCAGCGAAGGTGCTCAGTCCTTATTTACCCACCTTGCATCTCAAATCCAAATGAATGAACCCAAGCTCTGAAGGTGGTGAATATTCTTATTTCTGTTATAAAGATGGCTAAAGTCACAAGCAACTCAAAAATTTAAGGGACACACAGTTGGCTGAACCCACAGCTTCACACTCATCTAAGGACACAACTTCTGCAATATTCAAGTCTTTGGGGTAAGCTGCAGGTATGAAAGAAAAATCCATGTATTCAACTGCATCAAATTTGGAGTTTAAGGATGGGCACTCTGCACCCCGCCACATCCCTTATAGAAAGATCTTTTTTCAGCTGCTAGACACCATATCACAGTGATATAACCAAACCGACCCCTCCGAAGCTGTGCTTTGTAACTGAAAGACAAGATACCATGCTTCCCTGGCTGTCAGTAGTTTATACCATGATATTCAGCTTTAAATGCTTCCTTCCTCTTTCCTTTGGACTCTAGGAATTTGCATGCTGTCAGAAGGGATAATAGTGAGAGACAAATTGGAGACTCCTGGGGTGAGGGGAGAAGGGAAGACGCATCACGGATAAGGGAGCCTTGTCCCTATTTTCTGGCACCTGAAGGAGTTGCACCAAGGAGCCAAATTGCTGCAGTGCCTCAGTCATATAGAGCCTCCCGATTCCTTGTGGACACGTGTACCGTACAGGTGAAAGCAGGGATGTTTACCTCCATAGGCCTGTAATTCTTTTTCAGCATAAATTAAACAGGTAGCCTCTGTCTTCCCTTTACAGCTTTTGAACAGATATCAAAAACAAACAGAAGACATTGGCACCATCACTTCTTCAGCTACCCCGTCATGCCTCAAACTCCTGAAATGAGAAGCAAGACGATAGTCTGTTAAGAAGTTGGGTGAGGGTGTGGAAAAGGGTTATCCCAATCACTCTTCAGACTGTAGCTCGGGTGTACTGCTTTACAGTGTAGAGTTGCCAGCACCTTGCATCCCATTCACAGTCCAGCATTCATGTCTCACGGGAAGGCGGTCACTTCTAGAGGACAGACCAGGACAGCCACTGGCTGGATAAAGCTGAAAACTAAAGGAACCCTTTCTGCAGCTGGGGCTTTGGGCCTTCCAAATGCTGTGCACTCAATCCCTGGTGAGCAGGAGGAGGGACTAGACCCTTTAGGTAGGTGCTGTATATTCTGGGAGATTTGTGTTTCTTCTTAGCACACTGATCTGTTGTAAGGCACTTTTCAGTAATGGCCCTCGATAACATCTGTCCAGATCCATTAGCAGAACCACAGGCAAATTCATTCTTTCCTGTGACAGTCCCTGAGTTGCAGTGCCCAAGTATTCCCTCCCCCCTCTCCCCAAAGGTAAGCTGGTCACTAGAGCTGCAAAGAAGCAGGCTGTCAGAGCAGCTCGAGCGACTTCAGTAGCCTGCTGGGAAGCCACCTTTCCGGGAATCAGACACAGCAGCCCAGCCACCAGCAGTCCACAGAATGGCCTGGACGACGGCGCTACTGTTAGTCCGCTTGATATCGTGTTTCCTCTTCTTTAGTTCCTCTTCTATGCCCTGGAATGCAGAGAGAAGGGGTAAACGCACAGAGTTACACAGTGCGTGCTGTGTACCTCACTCGCAACACACACGTATACTGGACTGCTGAGCTGCCCCCTCTGCTGCTGGTAGCTCCGCGCAGAAACCTGTTCCACCATCTCCACCCTCCCACTCCTCCAACCAGCTACCTCCTTTCTCCGGCTTTCCAAGGGGTTTTGCTACAACGTGACAGAAAGCAATTCTTGATGTCATCCTAAATAGAGCACAGGGTCTGGTTCAAGAGGTGAATATAGCTGAACCACTTGGTAATAAGCAACCATAATATAATTAAATGTGACATCCCTGTGGGGGGGGTGGGACACCAGATAAGCCCACCACAGTAGCATTTCATTTCAAAATGGGGAACTGCACAAAAAAGAGGCAGCTAGTGAAACAGAAATTAAAAGGTACAGTCCCAAAAGTGAAATGCCTGCAAGCTGCATGGAAACTTAAAAAACACCATAATAGAGGCTTAAATTGAATGTATACCTCACATAAAAAAACATAGTAAGAGGCCCCAAAAAGTGCCACCGTGGCTAAACAGAGTAAAAGAAGCAGTTAGCGGCATAAAGGCCTCCTTTAATAATTGGAAGTTAAATCCCATCGAAGAAAACAGAAAAGGAGCATAAACTCTGGCAAGTCAAGTGTAAAAGTATAATGAGGCAGGCCAAAAAAGAAGAATTTGAAGAGCAACTAGCCACAGACTCAAAAAGTAACAGGAAAAGCAGGACGCCTGCCAAACAATCAGTGGGGACACTGGACGATCAAGGTGCTAACAAAGCACTCAAAGGAGATGAAGCCATTGCGGAGAAATTAAATGAATTTTTTGCATCAGTCTTCACTGTGGAGGATGTGAGGGAGATTCCCAAACCTAAACTATTCTTTTTAGGTGACAAATCTGAGGAACTGTCCCAGATTGAGGTGTCATTAGAGGAGGTTTTGGAACAGATTGATAAACAACAGTAATAAGTCACCAGGACCAGCTGGTATTCACCCAAGAATTCTGAAGGAACTCTAATGTGAAATTGCAGAACTACTAACTGTGGTTTGTAACCTATCATTTAAATCAGCCTCTGTACCAGATGACTGGAGGATAGCTCATGTGACACCAATTTATAAAAAAGGCTCCAGAGGCAATCCTGGCAATTATATGCTGGTAAGCCTAACTTCAATACTGGGCAAACTGGTTGAAACTATAGTAAAGAATGGAATTGTCAGACACATAGATGAACATGATTTGCTGGGGAAGTGTCAACATGATTTTTTGTAAAGGGAAATCATGCCTCACCAATCTAACTAGAATTCTTTGAGGGGGTCAACAAGCATGTGGGCAAGGGTGATCCAGTGGAGATAGTGTACTTTGATTTTCAGAAAGCCTATGACAAGGTCCCTCACCAAAGGCTCTTAAGCAAAGTAAGCAGTCATGGGATAAGAGGGAAGGTCCTCTCATGGATCAGTAACTGGTTAAAAGATAGGAAACAAAGGGTAGGAATAAATGGTCAGTTTTCAGAATGGAGAGAAGTAAATAGTGGTGTCCCCCAAGGGTCGATACTGGGACCAGTCCTATTCAACATATTCATAAATGATCTGGAAAAAGGAGTAAACAGTGAGTTGGCAAAATTTGCAGGATGATACAAAATTATTCAAGATAGTGAAGTCCAAAGCAGACTGCGAAGAGCTACAAAGGATTCTCACAAAACTGGGTGACTGGGCAACAAAATGGCAAATGACCTCCAATGTGGATAAAGGCAAAAGAATGCACATTGTATGAGCTTGGGAAACCCATGCGTGCAGTTCAGCGATGTGCTTTGTACAGAGAGGAAACATAAGCAGGAAGCAGAATGGACCACAAAAGCAGAACTGCAGTGAGTCTGGGGGTCTTTATAGATCCTGCCCAACATGTGCTTTAGAGGTGGAATTCAGAATCCCAGATCCCAGTTGCTCAGCTGAGCCCTTATGGCTCTAAATAAAAAGGGCAAAACCTTAGGGCATTCGAAGTTAGTGTCAGAATTTTGCATTTCTCTGTATCTCGACCACACATACCTCCCTATCACTCTGCACTGCCCAAACAGGGACAGCGACAGCCGTTATCAGAGGAAGCAGAGCACTAGAGTGATAGATCTTGGCGTCATTGTGGATAGTTTCCAAAAACATCTGCTCCATGTGCAGCTGCAGTCAAATAAGCTAACAGAATATTAGGAAGCATTAGGAAAGGGACAGAGAAGACAGAAAATATCATAATGCCTCTGTAGAAATCCATGGTACACCCACATCTTGAATACTCTGGTCAGATCTGGTTGCCCCATCTCAAAAAAGATATATTAGACTTGGAAAAGGTACAGAGAAGGGCAACACAAATGATTAGGGGTATGGAACAGCTTCTGTATGAAGAGGTTAAAAAGATGGACTTTTCAGCTTGGAAAAGAGATGACTAAGGGGTGGGGGGATATGATAGAGGTTGATAAAATCTTGACTGGTGTGGAGAAAGCGAATAAAGTGTTATTTACTCCTTTACAGAATGCAAGAACTAGGGGTCATTAATAGGGAAATTAATGGGCTGCAGGTTTAAAATTTAAAAAAGAAAGTATTTCTTCACACAACACACAGTCAACCTGTGGGACTCTTTGTTGTGAAGGCCAAAACTATAACAGGGTTCAAAAAAATAACTAGAGAAATTAATGGATAGGTCTATCGATGGCTACTAGCCAGGATGGGCCGGGGTGCAACACCATGCTCTGAGTGTCCCTAGCCTCTGTTTGCCAGAAGTTGGGAATGGACAGGGGGTGGATCACTTGATGATTGCCTGTTCTGTTCACTCCCTTTGAAGCACCTGACACTGGCCACTGTCAGTAGACAGGATATTGGGCTAGATGGACCTTTGGTCTGACCCAGTAGGGCCATTTTATGTAAGTGAAACATTTTGAACACTACAGCCCGTCACGTCCATTCATGAGCTCCTCATCCATGCCACTTCAAGTTTTGTAGGCAAACTGCCTCACTCCAGTCAACTGACTAGTTCTGAGGTTGACAGGGCGTTTTTGTGGCTTTTACCCAAACTTGATAATGGCTATTTTAGTTGCTGCCATAACTACAGCGGAAGCCCCTTTAGCTCTCCACAGATAGAAAAGGGGTTTCTGGACACAGTGTTTCTAGTGTGATGAACAAAGCAGGTTTTGTCTGGGAAAAGCATATGTTTTTAAAGACACAAGGCCTGCAGTGTCTGCTAGAGTCGTTCAGGAACTCTACAGAGAAAATGCTGATCCACATCTGCCCGCAGGACATCGGGGAGGTTAGTGTATCAGAGAAGCAGGTCTGCTGGCTTAAGTTGAGTGGTATCTGTCATTGTGAATCCAGACTGAAGCAGGTTTTACCCCAGTGTAGCAATGCATTGAGAGAACAGCAAAGGTCCCTTGTAAGGACCTTTGATGGAAGTTTTCTACAGATTTCCAAGGGTGATCTCAGCACTGAATGAATATCTCCTTGGCCATCCTGCAAGTGCCATAGAACGACTCAGCTTCATACCCAACTCTTCAGGATCACGAAGAGAGTGATACATTAAGAGACAAAGCCTGTTGAAATTCACTGGGTTTGAAGTTGTTACAAACTTCATGCCTAGCCCAGGCTGAGTATTTTGAAAAGCTTTTGAGCTACACGGGGCCAAGGACAGCATTAAATTACCTGCAGGCAAATCCAAGGGCAGCTCTGTAGTACTGGCATTTCCGGCTTTGTTTGCAGCCAAAATTCCGAGTGCAAACCCACATGGATGGGCCCTTGAACTCCGTGTTGTGGATCAAGGCCAAAGCTTTGCCCAGCTTTAATTCTTAAGCTCATAAACAGTCAGGCAAACATTACGCAATAGAATATAGGGAAAACATTCCCACAGTGCCTGCGGAGACCAGGATCATGTCTGACATCATACCCCCTGCCCCAATCCCTCCCAGAGAAGACCAACAGACCTGCTCTACGTTCTGCTCCAGCTCCGTGACATTGGGAAACAGCTGATCATGAACTCGAGGTTCTTCCACAGCCTTTGTCACATCGTACCCGAACCAGAGGGATTTGATGATTGTCTGGATGAAGCAGAAAGCCGCAGCATTAGTACATGACCTGCCCCCAGAGAAATCTGTCATTGGTGTCAAGATACTGCAGTAAAAGAGAGCCAGATTCCTCAGCACGTTAGGCGTTACCTGTACAATGCTGCCTCTAAAGCTGGTTGAACGGGACACAGGAGATCACCCCAGTATACAGGGCTGCTCAGGTGATTCAGAGCCACCATAGCCCCTTCTCCACCACCCCCTGCCTTGAAGCCAGGCTGGACAAAGCTCCCTGATGCCTGACTCATCCCTGGCTGTTCTAACTGCCACTTAGGGCTACAGGCAAACACGTTAGAAGATCTCTAGGATCAAGGACCTCAATAGCTGGCTTAAGGCAACTATTTCACAACCTCCTCTTGCCTTGCACCTCCAGATTCCAGGTGCTAGCCCCACGTGTACAACTGCTGTGCTTTGTATGAGCTTGGGAAAACCCTGCGTGCAGTTCAGCGATGTGCTTTGTACAGAGAGAAAACATAAGCAGGAAGCAGACTGGACCACAAAAGCAGAACTGCAGTGGGTCTGGGCGACTTTATACACAGCTGTGCTTTAGAGGTGGAATTCAGAATCCCAGATCCCAGTTGCTCAGCTGAGCCCTTATGGCTCTAAATAAAAAGAGCAAAACCTTAGGGCATTCGAAGTTAGTGTCTGAATTTTGCACTTCTCTGTATCTAGACCACACATACCCCCCTATCACTCTGCAGTGCCCAGAGGGACAGCGATAGCCGTTATCAGAGGAAGCAGAGCACTAGGGTGACAGCTTCTTCCTGTGAAAACCGTAAGACTTTGTAAGGCTGCTTCTGTAAGAAGTTTGTACAGTGAATCATGAGGATCCACATTTCAAAAGCAGACTGAAACGAAGCCAAGTTAGAGTTCCAGTACATGTAACCTGTAGCTGTGCAGCGCAGCTGCCATTTGAGAGTCCTGCATTTGTACCTGCATGAGGAGAAATGCATGAAGGAGCAGTTCCCATGCAAACCATGTAGCTCTCAGAAAGAAATATTGGATAAGTTAGGAACTTTGCATGCCTGTGATGCACGTGACCTAGATTGTCCCGTTAATTCTCAGTAAGTTATACTGAATGAGGCTCAACAGCAGCCTCTGCTGGTCTTCTGTTAAAGTGTACTTGGACCATTATCACCCCAAAGCAGGGCACACCATGAAAGCTACCTCAGAAGCTTGGAACATTGTACCAAATCTGACTTGGATTCTTTACCGCCAAGGATAGTAGACGACTGTATTTGCTAACCAAGTGTTATTGACCCACTAACTCTTTCAGCAACCTAAAAAAAAAAAAAAAATTCACCCTTTTGCACTCAGGAAAATCTCATGCAAAGAGACAGATACAAATATTCATGTGCTCAGGAATGTACACAAGTACGGGGTTTAGTGTAAACAACTGTGGGTTGTACGCACACACAGGTGCTTTTTAAAGTAGCCTTTTTAAATGCCTCCAAAAGCTTAAGGCATTGTGTAGGCACTCAGCAAACTTGGTTTTTTTGAGATCACGCTACATTAGTTATATTATAATAAACTGCATGGCCGAAAAAAGTGACTTCTGCACACAGCATAGTGGCACACCTGACGCTTCTAAAATGAAGGTTTTCTATTGCAGATACCGTTTTCCATTGTAACAGTGTTGTGAGGGTTAGGACAGCAGCCTTCATTATGCATTTCTACATTTGTTAGGGTTATAACTTTAATGTACACTAACCATTTTGTATTGATTGGATTGTATATATATATATACTTGCCAGAGCAGTGTCCTGCTCGGTTGATTAATTGTATTAAGTTCTGTAGAAACATAAAACATGCATTTAGAATAACGTCCAAGTCAAAGGAATTTGGTATGTCCTGGTCTCCAGAGCATGGTGGAATGATTCAGCTGGGACGTACGCTAGGGCTCCGTATAGCTGCAGCTAACCCCAGGGCCGGCTTCCTAGGCGGTTGCCTAGGGCACCAGGATTTGGGGGGGCAGCATTTTGCCGCCCTCGGCAGCAATTCGGCGGCGGGGGGTCCTTCCGCGCTCCGGGTCTTCGGCGGCAATTCTGCGGCGGGTCCTTCACTCACTCCAGGACCCACCGCCGAAGTGCCCCGAAGACCAGGAGCGTGGAAGGACCCCCCTGCCGCAGAATTGCTGACGACGACCGGGAGTGCGGAAGGACCCCCGCCTAGGGCGCCAAAAACCCCTGGCGCCGCTCCTGGCTAACCCAGGTAGGTCCCATTAAGTAGTACTTAGCTCCTATGTAGCACTTTCATCCATAGACCCAAAGCTCTTCACAAAGATTGTCAGATGGTCATCCCCATTTTATCTATGGGGAAACTGAGGTTAGTTGATTTGCCCAAGAACAGTCAATGGCAGAGCTGGGGATAGAGCCTAGATTTCTGAACTCCATCCCAGTTGTGAGGTTACATTATGGCTGTTTTCTTGTGTGATGTGCTCACTATGACGTTCTCCATGGAAACAAAGCATGTCGATCACAGAAGATGGGAGACAGTAGCCTGGAATTCAGCAACACTGAAAAGGACATATCTACCCATGAACCCTAAGTGAAAATGAGCTCTGAGTGCGATGCTGTAACTAAGAGGGTGAACACATCCTTCATACCTAAGCAGGAGACTATCAAATAGGATGAGGGAGACCCTATTACTTCTGTATACCCCATTAGTGAGACCATTATCGGAATAGTGTCTAGTCCTGATGTCCACGCATCAAAAAGGAAAAGAGGTACAAGAATATTTGAGGTCTGGAAACCATTCCTCATAGACTGAGCTTCCTAAATCTCTCCATTGAGTTTACTCCAAGAGAAGGTTAAGAGGCGACTTGATCACAGTCTATTACTACCTACATGGGGAAGCGATTCGTCAGTAAGTGGCTTTTTAATCAAGCAGGAAAAGGCATAATGGGATCCTATGGTTGGAAACGACAAATTCAGACTAGAATTATGGTGCAGATTTTTAACAGTGATGGCAAGTAACCACTAGAAGAACTTACACAGGGAGGCTGTGGATTCTCCATCACTTGCAGTCTTTATAGCCAGATGTTGTCTTAAAATATATGCTATAGTTCACACAGAAGATATGGGCTTGATGCAGAAATTACTGGGTGAGGGTCTGCATTTTGTAGCGGGTCAGACTAGATTGTCATAATGTTTCCTTCTACCCTTAAAATTTCTGACTCTCAAGGCAATCTCATGGGAGCCTTCCCAATGAGAAGCAGGACAGAATGACTCAGCCGCCTCTCCAACCTTGTCTGGCCTCTACTAACTGTCTCCTCATCCATCCCACAGAGACACGTACCAGTGCTGTTGCTGTGGTGATTTTTGTTCCTCCAGACGCACCAACCACCATCTTGATCTTATTTGTTTTATCCACTAGGATTGATGGACACATGGAGGACAGGGGCCGTTTACCTGTAAGAGTGCACACAGACATTAACTTGTAGTTAATTACATGCCCACACCACCATAGCCTGCTTAGGCTAGAAATACAGAACACTGCTACTGTTGGTCTTTTGCAGATCCCAGATCTGCTGGTTCAGCGCACAAGTCTCTCTTCAGCTGCCAAGGGGATTCTGTCATCCCCTGAACCCCCCCCCCACCTTGTTGACTTTGTAGAGGGGGTGGGAGTGAGAACTACAAGGGCTTTGAGCTGGCCCCTGACATATGGGCACACCTCAGCATGCCAGCTATCCAGTTGCGTGCACCCATACACTGGAGGCCAGGGTTCCGCTTCAGAACTCATCCCTGAGTAATGGGCCCTTCCTGGTCACTTTCCCGTCCGGGCGAGAACCTCTGTGGCTCTAGATCTGATTGGGGAGGCTCCCTTGCACTAAACCCTTGGCCCCCCATCTCATCTTCATTACCCCATGAGCCACCCTTGTCATTGGCAAAAGGCAGCTTTTACATATAGGGGGTGTCCCTCTCTGACTCCACCTCACCTGTAAAAAAATAGAAACAAGGGAAGTAAAGGGAAGAGACCTGGGTTTAAAGGTTAGCAAAAGACAGTGTATTTTTTTCAGAGCTGTATTCCAAAGGTATTGTGGGGGAGGGAGAGCATACACACTGACACAAATGCATTTTAAATATTTATGCAAATTCCTTGCAGCCCGTAGATTGTTGGAATGCTGCAAGGTTGTGCACCATTCCCAGGGCCTCCCACGTTCACTCACTGCCTCCCTGATCAGTGATGTCCAAGGCTCTCTTGCAGTTGTGGAGCACGGCACTTGGAGTGATTTTTGAGCTCACCTTTGTGAGGGGTTCAGGCAGCTGGGGATAAGCAAGTCCCGGGTGTTTTGCTTGACACTACAGATGCTTGTGTTCCTCTCGGCCAGGCAGTGCATACAGATCACAGTAAGGAAACGTGATCTGTAGTTAATGAGCTGTTATCAGTGATGCAGTATACAGAACGTGCGTGTTTCCCACATGTGAGAGGGACCTCGAGTCAGTGCAGAGTCAGGGGATGAAGTCAGTCATGATGTCAGTGCAGAGTCAGTGAGAGGTCAGGGGATGCTGCTCTCTAGCTGGCAGTCAGCATCGCTTTGGGATGCCAAAGGCAGCCATGATACTGGCTAAGGAGAGGGAGTGACGTGCTACCTGGTTTGATGAAGTTTGCAGTAGAGGGAGGGACTCCGAAGCCATTGACGATGTAAGGTGAACTGAAGTCATCCATCTCATCGTTAAATATGATTCCACTCACGTTGGAGCGAACTTCTGAGCCAAAGCTAAATAGAACGAGCAGAAGGGAAGGCACGTCAAACCCAGACTCTAGGACAAGGACAAGCTTCAGGTAAATTGTAGGTCACGTGAAACTAGGGCTGTCGATTAATCGCAGTTAACTCACGCGATTAACTCAAAAAAATTAATCACGATTAAAAAAAATTAATCGCAATTAATCGCAGTTTTCATCGCACTGTTAAACAATAGAATCCCAATTGAAATGTATTAAATATTTTTGGATGTTTTTCTACATTTTTAAATATATTGATTTCAATTACAACACAGAATACAAAGTGTACAGTGCTCACTTTGTATTATTTTTATTACAAATATTTGCACTGTAAAAATTATAAACAAAAGAAACAGCATTTTTAAATTCACCTTATATGCGTACTGTAGTGCAATCTCTGTATCATGAAAGTGCAATTTACAAATGTTGATTATTTTTGTTACATAACTGAACTCAAAAACAAAACAATGTAAAACTTTAGAGCCTACAAGTCCACTCAGTCCTACTTCTTGTTCCGCCAATCGCTAAGAGAAACAAGTTTGTTTACATTTATGGAAGATAATGTTGCCCGCTTCTAATTTACAATATCACCTGAAAGTGAGAACAGGCATTTGCATGGCAGTTTTGTAACCAGCACTGCAAGGTATTTGCGTGCCAGATATGCTAAACATTCATATGCCCCTTCATGCTTCGGCCACCATTCCAGAGGAAATGCTTCCATGCTGATGATGCTCGTTAAAAAAATAATGGTTAATTAAATTTGTGACTGAACTCCTAGGGGGAGAATGGTCTCCAGCTCTATTTTACCTGTATTCTGCCATATATTTCATGTTATAGCAGTCTCAGATGATGACTCAGCACACGTTGTTCATTTTACGAACACTTTTGCTGCAGATCTGACAAAATGCAAAGAGGTACCAATGTGAGATTTCTAAAGATAGCTACAGTACTCGACCCAAGGTTTAAGAATCTGAAGTGTCGTCCAAAATCTGAGAGGGACGAGGTGTGGAGCATGCTTTCAAAAATCTTAAAAGAGCAATACTCTGATGCAGAAACTACAGAACCCAAACCACCAAAAAAGAAAATCAACCTTCTGCTGGTGGCATCTGACTCAGATAATGAAAATGAACATGCGTCAATCCGCACTGCTTTGGCTCGTTATTGAGCAGAACCTGTCATCAGCATGGATGCATGTCCTATGGAATGGTGGTTGAAGCATGAAAGGACATATGAATCTTTAGCGCATCTGGCACGTATATATCTTGCGATGCCAGCTACAACAGTGCCATGCGAACGTCTGTTCTCACTTTCAGGTGACATTTTAAACAAGAGGAGGGCAGCATTATCTCCTGCACATGTAAACAAACTTGTTTGTCTGAGCAATTGGCTGAACAAGAAATAGGACTGAATGGGCTTGAAGGCTCTAAAGTTTTACATTGTTTTATTTTTTAATGCAGTTATTTTTTTGTACATAATTCTACGTTTGTAAGTTCAACTTTCATGATAAAGAGATTGCACTACAATAATTGTATTAGGTGAATTGAAAAATACTTTTTTTTTGTTTATTACAGTGCAAATATTTGTAATCAAAAATAAATACAAAATGAGCACTGTACACTTTGTATTCTGTGTTGTCATTGAAATCAATATATTTGAAAATGTAGAAAACATCAAAAAATATTTTAATAAATGGTATTCTATTATTGTTTAACAATGTGATTAATTGCGATTAATTTTTTAAATCGCTTGACAGCCCTACATGAAACTATTGTATCTCAGAGTGAGACCTCACCGCCCTGCAAGGAACAGGCCTGCACTCAGAGAGCGCCTAGCAGACTAACAGAGGGACATTAACCTACCCCTGGATCTCACTTGGGGGAGCCAGTTCTCCTCTGCCTTTCACGTGGTGGTGTAACCTCTGTACAGGAGACACTGCCATCCACATGAGTGGGAAACTCTATTTACAGCCACTTTGCATGTGTAACTATCCCAGGTTTGATCAGGACCCAGATTTCCCATACCAGGGGCCAAACCAAACCTCCAAATACCCAAATGTGCCTAAATGTGCGGGTTGAACTCCAGCTCCAAACCGCCCTAGGGGTAGGGGTGCTCCAGTACAACCCATCATGGAGATAGGATTGAGTTGCAAGCTCGGATCCAGACCCATCTCTACCAGAAGAGAGGCGGTATTTTACCAGAACGCCACGGCAGCAACGTGTACTTTGTTTACATTTTCTCATTATTGATTAAATCACTCGGCAACCAAATAAACTGCAATCACCTTTATGACCCGCTAGTGTCTCACACCCGATTCATTCAGTGATGCCACAGCCCAACACTTGACACGTTACAGGCATTTCGATAGGTTGGATTTGACCTCACCAGGTGAATCAGGCAGGAAAGGTTCACGCTGAGCAGAGGGGAGGAAAGGCCATCCTGGCTGCAGTCTGGTAATTCAGGATAAAGCCTCTGATTACTAACTAAAGAACTCTCTTAATAGCCAATAACAGCGCAACACTCAGGTTGCTGGTAATGGGCAGAGCAGCTGCAGTAACTATACTTCCTTTGTTACGACAGAAGGAAAGAAAGAAACAGGAAGAGTCTGATAATGTAAGGAAACGTTAATTGAAAAGAGGTACTTGAGTGCGGTAGGGGATTCCCTGACGGCAAAGCTAAGGGACAAAGGGGGTGGAATAGGTCATTGCAAACTTAAACAAGAGCGGGCTTGAATGAAGCATAATGGAGGCCTCCAGTCCTTATATCTTATGTGTCCTACTCAATAGCATGGGACTCAGCATTAAGCGCCTGACCTGTAAAGTGCCCTCAGCTCCCGTGGATTTCAATGACTGAGGGTGCTCAGCATCTGGCAGGACTAGACCAGAGAAAAGTATAGAACCTAGAAGTCCAGTTCAAGTCTTACCAGAACAGTGGCACCTATATGACTCCCATAAAGGGAGTTCCAGTCAGCAATTCCTCTACCAACGACTAACCCACTATGGAGATACCAGTCCAGTGATGTTTATACCAACCACAGAACCACTATGAAGACGGTAGAGGCCTACATGGAAATAACGTCTGAACTCATACTATTGGTTGATGGTGCTGGTGGCGGACACAGCACTGCCATCATCAGCCACAACGGAGAGATGGGATGTACCGGCATTATCTGAAGTGTAGTACTCTGGCTCATAGTAGTCGACTGTATGGGTGGCGTTGTCAGTGATTTTCCCCCGTAGGTTATCCGCAAAGAACGCAGAGGTCATGTTCCTGATCACCTGTTAGGAGAGACAAATGCAGCTGAATGCTACCAATAAGTTCCAGTTAAAGATGTAATTCTAGAATGCTGGAACCCTTGCGAGATGGGTCACATCAGACCTTGAAAAACTGGGGAGAATCCAGCAAGGAAGCCACTGGCTTTCCATTGTCTGGAATCCTTTGTTCCATGCTGCTAGGCCAGCACGTCAAGCTTCCATAAAGAGAATGCTGCACACACCGACACTAATATCACTGAGGCCAGTTCACGTCTTTCATTGTCAAAACACTTTATGGAAGTCCCTTGTCACCATCCCCGTGAGGTAGGCAGACAAGTGGAGTTATCCTTGTTCATAGTCTGTTATAGTTTGTATAGCGCGTTGAACATGTAACATGCTACGGAAGTGCAAAGTATTATCTATATTATGTAAATTCTACTGGCAAACCAATGGCTGCCCACTGCCCACAAACACCAGTGGAAATTCCTTTTTATATCCCTGGCAGGTCACCCATGGATCAGCGGTAACATATGGCTTTACATTTGGATTCAGATCTGTGTTTCATCAACTTGCTGATGGCAAACAGAATTCTGAAGTGTCCTTGGAAATATCTGGGGTCCCCTGTCAGAGGCTGGAAGCCAATCGCCACTTGGTTTTCATAATGCTTTGGATATGCAGAAAGATCTTGCTTTTAGGACAAGTGACTTCTCTGCTCTTTACCTCCGTAATGTTGACAAATGCTGGGTCTCCCAGTAAAGTCCTCTTGGCATACGCGAAGCGGAAGGCCTCCACAATGCGGTGGTAAGTCAGACCCTTTTTCTCCATGGTCGTGATACTGTCGCTGGAGAAATTAAATCCTGGCAATAGTAGATAACACATTGTGAGCACATCTGAAAGCACAGGGCCAGTGGGTGGCAAACAGGAACTGGCTCTGAAAGATGGTCAACTTGAAATCTAGTCATTTTAAGAAAAGACTCAGAAGCAAGTATTGCCCCAGCCTCTGAGCCCCAACAGCCACTGCTTGGGGTCTGACAGTCACGTTTCTTTTTTCCTTTTCTGCAGTTGCTGCATGAAAGACCCATTCAGAAAAAAACAGGCCACTGACAATACAGAGTGCTGTAAACACTTCAAAGAGAACATGTCCTCTAGTTTCTGTTAGAGTGACCTTAAAGTGTTACTTGCAAGAATGGCAGGTAAGCACATTTCAAAAAGTGGGGTCACTTATAAGTTCGTGTCCCTTCCATTTCCACACATGCGGGTACCAGAGGACACCCATCAAGAGAATCCTTTTCATTCTTCAGCCCGTTCTTTCATCTGCTGAGGCCATAGCCTACGTTTATGGAATTAGAGGGCTGATTCCCAGATGTACGAAGTGTTCTTCTAACAGCCTTCAATCACTGGCCACTTCAGAACTGAGGTTGATTAAGAACGCTGCTGTTTACCTACCGAGATTGCAGTGGCCAATGGGCAGCAGCGGTCTTTGGGAATCCCCAGGCTGCTATCGCCTGTAACAGTGTGGTTCACTGAGGCTCGCTCTTACCTTTCAGTATGTTGAGGATGAGTGCTAGCACTGGGCCACTCAGGGGGGCACTGGGTGTGTACATGGTGAACTCCCCGATCGTGATGTTTAAAGGATTTTCACTCAGGATCGGAGTATAGTCTCTTAGGTCCTCCATTGAAATGATGCCCCCTAGAACAGAGAGAAAAGCCATCTGTGGCTCCGGGTTTACATGATCTCCAGTAGGAGGAAGAATCTCTCTTCCCCCTTCCCCATCCTAGCTGTGGCTGCCAGTGGTGAGAATGCAGTGGCCTCACCATGATTGTGATCTAACCAGTGAGATTCCACAGATTTACTGAGATAAGGGGATGTGTGAATGGAGATGGGTTTATCCCTTTTCTGACTCAGGGTCAGATCCCCAGCTGGCAAAAATCTGCATCACTCTTTGGTGAAGTTTGACTGACTTATACCAGCCAGGGTTCTGGCCATCTGCATCTCTCATTGTGGGAGACTGGTAACATCAGGGAGCGAGCCACAGAATCCTCTTGTTTTACAAGGAGGAAAAATGCTGGTGGTGGATGCAGACGCTTTATGCTCCCCCACAAACAGAGTGGTTGGTGCTGTCTGTTTCCAGCCTCACTGGAAAGGAACTGATGCAGGGTTTGCAGAGTGTGATGAAGGAAAGTGGTGGTCAACACTGTGTGAACAGGGATTATTTCTCTCTGTATTATGTTCCCTGAAAGGGACGCACTCAGAGGGTCGGAGACCATTGCTGAGGGAGCCGAGCCAGGTGGACCATACACCCAGGCTAGGAACAGTGAGTGATTTTAATTTATTTTCGCTCCAGGGCACTTTAGAGCCTGTGGCCACATTTTCAAGAAAGCTCAGTGCCCAGCAGCTCCCACAGAGAACAAGGGGGGCGGGGTGCAGTTCTGAAGAGCAGGCCCCAGTTGTGGGTGCCAAGCACTTTTGATAAACTGGCCTTTGGTGGTTCAGGCACCCGAGTGCTGAGCATGGTGTGAGCTAGACAGACTCTTGTGAAGGCTCCTGACCCCAAGAGCCGACAGACCCCCGGACAGAACTGAAGGAAAATGGATGAACTAGGTGTCCCTGGCCCTCCAAACCCAAACTGAACCTGTGAGGTTCAGAGATGTGGCTGACAAGGGACAGGACATGCAAAGGTGGCCCAGGCCCACCTGGAGGCTGCATCCAATTCTGATCACTTCACCTTAAGAAAAATACAGTAAAAACTGCCAGAGCTCCTGAGAAGGGCAATAAAGGTGATTACACTGCGCACAGAAAGGATAAGACAGAAGGGACTGGCGGCTTCTATGTACTGACATTGTCAAAACCGAGCCATCCCTCTTACCCCTTCTGTGCCTCAAGTTCCCCATCGTACTTTGTAAAGTGCTTTGAGAGCTGATGAAAAGTGCTATAAGCTGGGAATCATTATCCCATAATACAAAAACAGGGGGGCACTCAGTGATGTTAAAAGTCAGAGCATTTACAACCAATTGAAGGAATTACTTAAAAAAAACCAAACAGTATATAGTCAGCTGGAGGAATTCACTGCTCCGGGAGGAGAAGCACAATAGGTGGGTTACTACAGTTCTGTGAATTCCGAAGCTATGTACAATGTACTAGCTAAGCCTATGCTTCTGTCACCATTTAGTGGCCTACAGAGGGTAAGAGCCCTATTCCCACAGACAGAACAGACTAAGTTCACATGCTATGGGCCTATGTTTTTAGGTATAAGCTATTATCAGAGGTTGCATCTCAGATTAGACAGCAGACCTCTGATATGCTATGGGAAGTCAGTACTTCCCATGAGTCTAAAAGCAAAAGATGTTTGGACCAGAGATTTCACGTAGGTTATTTCCTGGCAGGAAAAGAGTCTACACTTTTTTATTGTTCCCTCAAGATTAAATTTAATCTGGCACAAAAAATTCTCCCAATAAAATTGTTTCTCTCCAATAAGACGCTAAATCAGTGGTTCTCAACCAGGGGGTACATCAACTCATCTAGATATTTGCCTAGTTTGGCAACAGGCTACGTAAAGAGCACTAGCAAACTCAGTACAAACTAACATTTCATACAGACGGTGACGAGTTTATACTGCTCTATATACTATACACTGAAATGTAAGTACCATCTTTATATTCCAATTGATTTATTTTATAGTAATATGGTAAAAATGAGAAAGTCAGCAATTTTTCAGTACTAGTGTGGCTGTGACACTTGCATTTTTATGTCTGATTTTGTAACCAAGTCGTTTTTAAGTGAGGTGAAACTTGGGGTATGCAAGACAAATCAGACTCTTGAAAGGGGCACAGTAGCCTGGAAAGGTTGAGAACCATTGCTCTAAATCATCAGCCCCACGACTACTGACTTATAACCAATGACTCAACTTCAGCCAGCTGCTAATGGGTTTCACTTTCTTTGGCCATTATAAGAAGTTTTGCTAAATCCGAGACTTGGTATCACAGCAAAGATTTTCATCCATGGAAGCTGAACTTCTGCAGCTCTCGGAATATGTTTGGGGAGTTTAGGTTTTTTTATTATATATATATATATATATCAAAAAAAAGATACTCAAGCCCCTGGTTTCTCACCTGCCTCCTTGATGTCTTTGACAATTTGCTGCGCCAGGCTCCCTGTGTAAAAGGCGTCTGCTCCCTCGTTGGCTAAAGTCTCGTAGGTGTTCGCTAGTTTGGGCATCTTGATGACATCCCCCTCATGTAGGATTGTTCCTCCTCTGCAGAACACTTCACTGCGGGGGAAAGGAAAGGAGAGTGAGGGAATCAGCTCTGACATTGAGCTTCACCATAGACACCTTTGGCTTTGAGTTGCGCAGTATGCAGGCTAACAGCTTCCGAGAGAAAACCAGCACTGCGGAGTTAGAAGACATGCTATTCACATGGTCCCCCGGACACAAGTACCAAGACAGTAACGCCAGGCCTGCTCGCTGAACAACATACACAAGGAACTCCTGCCTCAGAGTTAAAACAAACTCATCGCTCAGTGTAACCTACACTAGTGGAGAGTGGCTCTTTTTGTCCAATAGACTTGTAGCTGGTCCACATCAGAGATCAAACCTACCACAGCAGCCAGGGATGGGGCTTGTCCTTGAGCTCAAATGACAAAGGCTCATACTGCTGGTTCTGAAGGCCCTGAGTTCAAAGCTTGCTGCCACTCCAAGCAGGGGCAGTTATAATAGCACCAATGCAGGCTCCAAAGCGCTACCTACCACAGTGAGGGGTTGCTTTCAATCGCCTTCTCTTTTGACTTGATGGCTGCTGCCAGACCTTTCCCAATTGGGAACCCTTCTCTCGCCAGCTTGATGTTGGGCAGAAACAGGCTATTCCATGGCAACTTGCCATGCCGCTTATGAGCCATTTCATAGCCACGAATTTCTCCTGGAACCGCAATGGACAGGCCCCCTGAAGCAAACAGGGAAGACATTAGGCCATTCGGCAACAAACACTAAGCAAGAGCAAAGACAGAGTTGTCTTTATGTGAACTCATTTCCAGAACAAGAAGTGAAGGGGACCCCTCCATGGCCATGTCTTCACTAGAGCTGAGCTTGTTCAGTGGCCAAACCGGGAGAGGAGGGGGGAGAGCAATCAGGAAACAATTGTTGGGTTCCAGACTGGAAGTTGAGTTTCTCACCATAATGAAAAAACAAAAATAAAACTTTGTTTTATTTTTGAACAAAACATTTAATTCAGTCCAAAATATTTGGGTTTTTTTTATTATTTAAGTAAATCCATCAACATTTCTAAATGAAAACATTGTTTCAAGAAGAAAAGTCAAAATGTTTCATTTCAGAAGTGTCAAATCAAAGCATTTAGATTTTGTTTTTAAAGCTGAACCTACTTCCTGAATTCAGCCTGAATTCAAACACAATTTCAGTTGACTCAAAACTGCATTTTTTGGCAAATAAGAGTTTAGTCTGCAAAATGCTGCCTTGCTCTAATGTTCACTTAGCAAGGAAGCTGTTTTATGGGAATAGCCTGCATGAAACAGTTGGTCGCATCTCATGTCTTTGCAACAGTTCAGCCCACCCATACGATCATGCTGTTTGACGGAGCTGGTTTTGGCCCAGTCACTCCCTGTAGGTGTTCGGGAACTCTGGAGGCAATTGCTGGTAGCAAGGGGTTGGGGGTTTTACCCAACATGAGGCCCTGCAGTGTGGGATGGCATCACTAGAGCTAGCTGAACTGGTGAAGCAGCTTATGGCTTCCAATCCAAAACCGGGGAGAAAGACTGTCGTCAAGGACACAAATACAACCAGAGCTGAACCATAGGCCTCATTGCATCCACCTGCGCTGGGATGGTTATTGGGTGTTGACACGTGGCATTGTACAAGTAACCCATGCAGATGGGATTTCAATCCATGGTTTGGTGCAACGACTTGTACCTCACATAGACCGTCCCATTTTTATTGGCACCTCCCCAAATTGTAATGTATTCCTCGGATACCAGTTTTCTCCACAGAGGCTTTTCCCTTCCCCCCTCAAATACAGATGTACCCCAGCAAGAGAACTTGCTTTCCTAGGTCCCTCAAAGCATTCTGGGAAGGCAGTTGGTTTAGCTGCTTCATGTCTTTTTGATATGGTTCTGTTTCCAGCAGGAGCGCCACCAGCTTTTCTGCCACCCTAGGCGGCGGAAGGTCCCGCCCCGAAATGCCGCCCCCCACAGAGGCGGCGGAAGGTCCCGCCGCTGAAATACCGCCGTGGTCGCCGCCCCCCAAATTGTAGCGCCCTAGGCGACTGCCTAGGTCACCTAATGGGTTGCGCCGGCCCTGGTTTCCAGTCAGGAGAATTTCTACCTCTCCTCTGGACCCTCTAGGCCTCCAACTGGAGCCACCATTAATCAGACAGTTGAGTGATGGCTCTCACGGCAACACAAGCATTGATGAGATCTAACAGCAGGGGCTCTTGTCTATCAGAGCATGGGGAGGAAAGTGGCAGATGTTATGCTGTTCATGGCAACACAAAATATGGCCCCTTAACAGTTGTGTATTAAGATTGATTTTCTACATTGTTCTTTGTATGAATGAGACAATGGGGGCTGTTGTGACTGACTGTCATGGACGAGACAGTACATTCTGACCTCCTGGACAAGTGAAGATACACAGCAGCAATCAGCAGGAGGTGGAAGAGATTTCTGAGGAAATTGAGAAGGTGAGAATCCCAGGGGGCTGGGTAGGGCCCACTCCAGCCACAAGATGCAGAATAGTCAGAAGTACTTTGAACCCAGGAGATATTGCAACAGTAGCTAAAGTTTGAACAGCCCAAGGATCCACTTACTGGAATCAACATGTCAGCACCATCTGACATCTCCTTACCTTTAAGGGAGAGCTCTGTGTTGTTCCCAAACATGCCCAAGGATGCATTTTTTGGAGCCACCTCTCTTGCATTAATGACTTCTACTTTCCCTTTAAAGACACAAGGAGTAAGGATGGCATCAGCTCTTCACTCTAGACACACAGCACACTGGCTTTGTGGTACTGAACCTCTGAACTGGAGTCCTACAGCACTGGGAGCTAACTCCTGCTTGGCTGGGGTGCCTGAGGCCACCCCACCTGCGTTGGTAGGGTATGATGTCTATCACACCCGCCCTGTGCTAGGATAGAATTAAAAACTTTGCTTTAGACAGAGCCATGTCTCAAGGGTAATGCTGCCCATCATTTACGACTGACCCTCTTACCTGTGTGGGTGTAGATGGTGAGGAAGAGACCCCCTCCGATTCCCATACTGTGAGGATTCATGAGGCCCACACAGAGCAGAGCTGCAATTGCAGCATCTACTGCAGATCCTCCTTGCTGAAGGATATCCCTGCACAGGCCAAAGAGAACAAAATTATCGTCCAGCAACCGACAGCACAGCAGCCTCTTCTCCAGCACTTTCAGGACCTCCTTGTACATGGTAGATCGCAGGGCTGCGACAGACAAGTTAGGCTTTCGTACCAGATTTGGACTGGCTACAGAGCGTCCGCCATAGAGCGAGACAAGAGAGGTGTTCTCTGTCTAAGAGATACTTTAACGTGCTGCCCGCTTTGCGGCCGGCGGCTCAGATAAGGTATGTTACACATGGCATCACCTAGTGGCTGAACATTATAAGACCGGTTTAGTGTCCCATCACAGCCGCCACTCCCTCCTCCCGCTCACAGGCTCTCAAGGGGTTGCCTGCTTCAGCACAGAGGCAGGAGGGAAGCAGTATCCAGTCGCTTTCTCAGCATTTTATTCAAGATGACAAAGATGCACCTGGTTCAGTTTCACAGAGAAGAAGCCTGCAGACGACCGAGCTCTCCCTTGGTAGCATCATCTACTCTTGAGCGTTCCCCCATCTTACGGAGTAATTTTTAAAAAGCAGCATCTCCTGCTGGTGTGGGCTGGACAGATCTGCATTAAGATCAGCTTGAAAACCCTGCTGAGGTTTTCTAGAGCTGCTTATGGCATTTAGATGTCCAGTTCCCATTTAAATTTAAAGTGAGAATTGGCCACTGAAATCCCCATGGAGACTGAAAAAATGGATTTTAAAGGTGGCTTGAAAAGTTTATTTCAGTCATTTATGTGGTTCCCATCCCTGTGGACCCATTGTACATAGCTTAGATGGTCAGCAACCATGTTTCTCAGGCATGGGGAGAAAACCAAGCATTGCAAGACTCCACAGGCAGAGAGCTAGCAAAGCAGTTCCTGAGCAAAAGCAAATAGAACAGTTTGGGTCTTTGACTGCTACAATAGCTAAGAGAATGTACGGACGTGAGTAAAGAGAGATACCTTCCAATTATTGAGCACTGCCCAGCGTCCGTGGCTACAGCTGCTGTCTTGTAGAGATGTCCATCCTGTGCTGGGGGCAGCGGGGCTGAGCGCAGTCCAAAGAAAAACCCCAAGAAAAGGACCAGGCCCAGCAGGAAGCCAGTCAGAATCCCAACCGTCAAATAGCGCTTCTTCATCTTTCTGTGGAGAGAGACACTGTGAGCAGGAATCCCCACGGGGCCTACAGGCGATTGCTGAACATGGTACCAAGAGGGCTGCTTCCAGCAGCCTGTTTCAAATACACTGGAAATGAATGTCCACCTATCCAGTTTCACTCTCTGGTTTCTCACCAGTTGTCTCCTCTCTCGACTCCCTATTGAAGCAGGGGAGGTCCGGGGAAGAGCAACTGAAGGAGACCAAAGGCGCATTCCATTCAGAGAAGTTAGAGACTCGGCCTACTCCGTCTGGAAGGGAGGTCGATAGCGAGGAGCTTTTCAAAGGCACCCAGGGCAGATGGGCACCCAACTCTCATTGCCTTGGTTAGGACCTGGGTGCCTAATTACCCCTTTTGACTTTCAAACCTCACCCCCACGCCAAAAAGCATAACGAGGTCATTGGGCACGCCTGTCCTTGCAGTCCCGTGAGAGTCCCCAGTGTCAGCGGGACAGAGCTCAGATGCAGTCCGTCTCAGTTCACTTGAGGAGCCCTATCAAATGCTGTGCCAGACCCCAGCTCTATTACATCCCTGAGTGCCCTTCATTCAACAGTTTGTCATTTGATCAACATTAAAAAGCTCATCGCTGTCTGGCGTGGGCTGGTCTCCTTCAGCTTTCTGCTCATGAGAGCGCCCGGGGAATAATGGAAACAAGCATTCCCTCTTGCAAGAGACCGAAGTTAGATTTACTGGATGGCAGTTACCAGGGTTGCTCTTTTTTCCTCCTTTCCCTTCACAGAAAGTTTGTACATCTCATTACCTCCCTCCCCCGGTCCCCCGTTTTTAAACCAGGTCAAAAGTAATTGCCAGTAGCTCAGTTAATCAATTAGCTAACATCCCTGGCCCTACTGATCTGCAGCAATTCCAAGTATTCCCGACCCTAGATTTATTTTCCATTCACAGGTACATTATATTGATACCAAGAGCCTTTGGGTTTTCATGCTGAACATCGACTACAAGCAGCAGATCAGGGATTCTATCAATCATTTTAGAATGATTACAGAATTCTCCCTCCTCGTCTGTTAACAGGCCTATTCTGTGCAATACTTTCTGCCCCCATTCCCTCGGCCCGGATAATTCTATTTATTATTAATATAGCATCACTAGTGTTCCAGTTTATAAGCACAGAGCCCTTCAAACCCAGCTGCTTTTGCTAAGATTTTAAGCCAGCAGACAGTTTTGCAAGAGCTGCCCCATACTTCTTCAAAAGGAGCAGGCCAAGATATAGTAATTAACACAGTGAGCATCTAGGATAGATTACGTTACATTGTAGTAAGTACCGGTAAGTAGTTCCACATAGAGTAGAGGAGGCACGATCAGGAAAAGCCCCAGGTACAGAACTTGATTTAAGCTGAAATAAATTATAAATGTCTGGCAATGACTTCACAGGAGAAACGCTGTGTTTTCAAATTCTGGAATCAAAGCAATTCAAAAGATACAATTACCCTTTAACTATCCCCAGCTATTGTCGCTTGTGGAAGAATTAAGGTACCCAAGGAATCAAAAGCTGCCCTCCCTCTATGCAAGGTCATGGGGTAGCCATAGACCTGTATTATATACATCTTCAATAGTGACACTATGAGCACATTGTCCCACTGGCAACATACCAATATAGGCACAACCCACTCTAAGTGGTACAACATGCAGAGTACTCAGAAGGTGTCTTTTATCCCATTCCTAGGTGCAACAGAAGCCATTTGCTTTCCCAGTAGTCAGGGCCTCATTTCCCCAGAAACAGCTGCACTGGCAGTAAGAAAATAAATGTATCTTCTTTTAATTGCTTATGATCCTCCCTCTCCCCTCCCCCCCGAACAGTACGGGTTAGTTACAGATGTAATACTGCCAGCACACTTAGTGCAATAGCCACGCTACCCAGGTACCTTACCAAAGCATCGGCTGTGCGCAGAGAGAAAGCAGGCAGAGGCATAGTGTGACAAGCGGACAGGACTGACCCTCTCCAGTGATGTAACAGTCCCAAGGCAGGATGTGATTTCCAGCCAGGTCAGACTAGCTCTCGCTGCCCTGTGGCAGAGGCACATGCAGGACCAGTGAGCCGTGGGGGGAGCCAGTGCAGAGGTCACTGGAGGGAGCAGGCCAGCCAGGATGGAAGCAGAGTGGGTAGGTTGGCCCATCAGGGAGGAGATTAGCTGAACACCCCCCACACACACACACACATCACTCCAGCCGAACAGAGGTCAGTGCGCCATCCTGGCCCTCTGTCTATTAGTAGCCATCGCATTGCTCCTCCCATCCGGGCACGGAAAGCTTTCTAAGTCTCGTAGCTCATTACAAAACTAATCTACTGCCTGTGCCGTTACACGTGTGAATCTTAAGGACAGGCAGCTGATGGGGAAAGGGTGATGTCTCTCTGTACAGGTTCCGAGCTTGCTTTACACTGGACCATTCTAAAATCAGTGGCATACTTGTCATACAGTTACTGTGCATCGAAACAGAGCAGCCATTATGTCTCCAACAATAGCTCCCTCAGCCTTGGATCTTAAAGACAGTTGTGTTTATTGGCAGCGAGTTTGGACTGGCTCTGTCCTCGGCGTGTTACAGAAAGTGCCGCAGGATCTGTCACCAGGCAGGAGGCGTTTCTTTTCTGTGGCTTATCTGACCCCTTTACCCCTGCAGCACAGGGCATGATCACTGGTCCCAAGGCTGGAGCCTGATGCCATAAGCTTCTGAATCATTGGAAGCAGTGCTCTGTGGCCTGACCATCCTGGGTCTGGCAAGCTGCGGTGGGGCACAGTGTCAGACTTACCTGACCTATCCAGCCAGGCTTTTGACAGATAGGTGACCCATTCTTACAGTGTGGGGAGAGGGGTTATCATAGGCCCTTTATTTTAAAAGGGACCTCTTGTTTCTCACTGTTTATAATCAGTGCAAGTTACCCCAGTACCACAGTGATGGGCATCATTCCAGACCAGTAAGGGCCAGATTGGGCCCAGCTGCTGGGTGACGGCACACAGTGTACAAAGCCTCTGACCCCTTGAGCCCCATGCATGGGAGTCAAGCCCGGCCAGTCCCGCTGCAGATGACAGCCACCCCGAATCGGGTAAGGCTAAGACCAGGACATGAACTCCCACGCCCTAGCTCAGCACAGCTGGAAAGACACAGGGAACGGTTGTGTCAGTGCCCCAGCCTGTATACCTGGGAGGGAGTACCTCCTGGAGCCAGCGCCCCCCCATGCTCCTGCTGGGGCAGTGCAGATCTGCAAGGCCCCATCCTCAGGGCTGTGCCTATCAGAGAGCCGGGCTCTGTGTTCAAGAGTCACAGTCAGTGTTTCAGCTTAACTCTCAGCTCAGAATTCAGCTCCCAAGTGTCCTTTGGGCTTAGAATAAGTGAAGCATCCAATGCGTCTTCTGTCAGGAGACTAGGTCCCCAGCCTCGCAGCAACTCCTGTGACCTAAGAGGTACGTTTCTGTTTCTAACTAGTATAATCTGGTGGAGGTAGGAATAAAAATCATGCACTTGGAAGGGCCAACCAGGACATTGAATAGACATGGACCTACAGGCAGAAGAAAGAGAAGGCATCTCGATGAAACGTAGCTGCGTGAGACGGATCATGTCAGGGAAGAGAGCAAGAGAAAAAGTTTGGTCCCTGTAGGAAGCTAGAGGACAGAGCTACAGGAAAAGCAGGCAATCCTGAGCAGAGCCGGGACTAGAACCAGAGCCAAGAACACACTAGGTCTTTACTGCCAGAGTTAAAGGAAAGCTACTGGGTGACCTAGCCTACTGTAGGCTCCGCCACTAGAGGGCAACGTCCATCCTATACACAAGAGCCACTACATTGCAGTTTTGAAGATAGGAAGGAAGGCTGTGAATGTTGCTGCATGGTTAGGAAGTACTGGCCGATGTTATGACCAACATTTCAGTACTTACCTGATGCCTCTGGCTAAGTGGCATAGACAGGTGTGTTAAGTGGACAGCCTAGTTTTTCCCTGTTGAAGCTGGCTCTTTTCTCCAAGGATTTATTGGCAGGACTAGTCAGAACAATTACTGCGTGCTGCCATCTGAAGCAGCGAGTGCTGGAACTCTCTAGCAAGCTGTGTTCTGCAAGTGGTTTTAACCTCTGAAACCTCTTGCCAAATCCAGCTCTGGGGAAGCGTTGTTAGTATTTCAGTCAGACAGCGCTTCTCGGCAGCAGGAGACCGAGACGGAAGGGCTATAAAGTAATTAAAGGCACTACAATTCCTTCTCAGACATTAGGGTTGTGACTTTGTCCAATGCGAGGCAGGAAATTCAAAGCCAAGTCTGACCTGTCTGAATTCACGCAGGGGAAGAACAACAAGCAACGGAGTTATGGTTGGATGAGCAACTTTACCAGTGAGCTGTGTTAATTGGTGTCACAACTTTAACAGTCTTAAACATACGGAAGCTTCGTTTCAAAACCCAGCACAACAGCCTAGTTACTGCCAGGCAGGGAGATTCAAGTTCAGCCTGCTGTGCCGGACCAAGCAGGGGCTGGGAGTGGGGCTTACGGTGCTCGCTTCTGGCCACACGAAGGAACAGCAATGAGTGGCTCCGACGGGAGGCAAAGCCAGCCGCCCCCTCTGTGCCAGAAGGCAGGTTGCATTGCCCTGAGAACTGGAGCAGGACGAGGAGAACAGAAGGCGGGACATTAAGAGGGCTCTGGAGGACCACCCAGAAGAGTTGAAAGAGTCACACATACACACACCCCTGCTCCAGAGAGCTAAGCATGTCAGAATTTGGGATTTCCCCCTGGAGGCCAGAATTTCCAAATGCACATAGTTTAAGGTCTCAGGTCACTGTGGCCCAAGAGACAAGGCATTCCAGATTAGGAACCAGGGGTCATCAATTATTTTTTGTCAAGGTCCATATTTCTTGGTCAAGGTATTGTCAAGGTCCAGACTCCAGAGAAAAATAATACAAAACCAAGAACAATACTGGTAATAGTAAGTCAATAAAAAGATGTTGCGGTCTGTCCAAAAGCATCTGGTGGTCCGGATTTGGCCCACGGTCTGCCTATTGACTACCC